AGTACTTGGGTATTTAGCAGCTCCTAAATACCTAAGTAAATAGTATTTGAGTATTTAGCCGCCCCTAAATACCTAAGTAAATAGTACTTGGGTATTTAGCAGCTCCTAAATACCTAAGTAAATAGTCCTTGGGTATTTAGCAGCTCCTAAATACCTAAGTAAATAGTCCTTGGGTATTTAGCAGCTCCTAAATACCTAAGTAAATAGTACTTGGGTATTTAGTCATCTCAAAATACTAAGTATTTGTGTATTTAGTACCCAAAGTGGTACTTTAAGTACAAAAGTATTTAGGTATGCCCATCACTGAAATAAACAAAAGAGAAACAGCCACAATTGATCAAAATGTTGACGACTTAATCAGCAAGTGTATGTAAAAAATGATTTTTATATTAACGTTCTCAAAAAAGTTTACAATGAATTTTAAATGTGCTCTGTCGAAATGATATTTTAATATACATTACGTAAATACTTATGTACCTTTGTATACAATAAAAGTTTCATAAGAACAATTCTGTGCGCATACATTTGACAAAGACGTTCTCGGGTAGGAAACACAACACTAGTGACGTGTCTCTGCAGTATACACATTTTGAGTACAAAAATCTCAACCCTGATACAAAAAATTGTATTAGTACTGAATGATAATGACAGATTGCATTCCCATAAACGTACAATCATACATGATTGAGTTTTTTTTTGCATTCACATTCTCTATGTAAATGGGTATCAACCATTCCATAACACACTACATATTTTGTGTTTACAATTTGTAACCAATCTCAAGAATGGTTGTTAAATTTTTAAAATCAAACAATCAAATTTTTTGTACGAATAAAATGAGAATGCACACTCAATTGATTCAATCATTATACAGCTCTGGCTCAGTATATCCAGTAAAAAAACTGTGGTGAAGTCCTTTATGGGGATAAAGTTTCCAGAGGTGAAATTTTAGGTAGCATACAATTTCTTACACGCATGGTTGCTTTTCAGCACCAACGCAAGAAACTTAAGAAATGTTAAAAAAAATATGCGTATAGTGCATTAATTTTTGAAAGAAATACCATTTAATGCATATACTCTGATTAATAATATGAAAAATGGATTAGAACAACCGTTTAATGTTATATTTGATGCAAATTAATTTTCCACTCGGGACGCTCTGCGCATTGCCACTGAATAATAGGTTTACTTAAAATTACATCCCTGGTCCTTCTTCTTTCTGTATTGCATCGTGGTGAATTCACATTTCTCAGAAATTTGACAACAAACCAAAACGAAGTAAGTGCTTTATTTGCTAATTTTTTCGATTTCTATTGTTTAATGTAAATTTTATGTCTGTTTAGGATATGTTGAGGCAAAAAAGAAGGCGCAGTTGGAAAATGAAGTGATTAGTACGAAGTAGCAGCGCAGGCACATTTGGAAAATTATGCCGATAAGCAAGATAAAATTTGGGAAAGTAAGTGCCTGGTTGCAGCATATCTATGTATTAAAAAAGTAAATAATTAAATGAAATTGTGTTTTATAGAAATGTTATTAATCGAGTGGCGTTAGTTAAGATGTGCTCCAAACATTTGGCGAACTTTTTTCGCCTTCTCAACGTGCTAAGTTACAAGTTAAGATGACTGCCACCACGGATGGTAGGAAGCCCGAAGCAAAGGGCAAACAACCTTCCAGGAAGCTGCCTGCTGTATCCGAGTCGTAGCTGAGGTTCAGCAAGAAGTAGGTCAGCAAACGTGCTACCCTGATCAAGCTAAACTAAAGCGCTCTGCTGTGATTGCCCTCCGCAAACGTGAAAACTTGTTGCATCTGAGAAATATCAAGCAAAATATCTCCGTGATGGGCGCCGTGAGAATAAGTTGCGCCGCCAAGCAAAGAAACATGGCTCATTCTAAGTGCCTGCGGAAGACAAATTGGCTTTTGTGATCTGTATCCGCGGTATCAACAAAGTTGCACCAAATGTGCGACAGTTGGTTTAAAGAAATTTTTTGGTGTACAAGTTGGAGTATTTTTATTTCAAAAATATATAATATATAAAAAAGAAAATGTTTTTTTTTGTAACTTTCTGAAGGTTTAACCCGCAAATATGCCAAATGGAAGGCAGCTTATATTCACGATTCCTTGAATAATGTCGGAATTCCATTGCCGCTTGTAAAGGCCATTTCAAAAGGCTCCATTCCACAAATTTAATTTGTGTTGGGTTTTCAGCTCATTAACGATGCACCCAGGATTGCATTTACCGTCCATGAAAATATTTCATGAAGCGTTCCAAAATTAGCTCCGAGCAACTAAAAGTTGGTTAAGTTTAAGTGAAATAGTTTTTTATTAAAAATTTATTCCTGGTATTTATTTAAAAATAAAATCAGGTCAATATTAATGTATGAAATAAAATCTAAGAATATATTTCTTGAATATTTTGTCATAGAGGCGTTATTAAATAAAGACATAACTGCGTCGGGCATTGGTCCTGACGTATATAGAATTAATGCATTAGAGGGAGATTATTATACAAGCTCAACGTGGTAATTTAGGTATACTTACATACATATGTATGTATTTACCTGTTACTCGCCTTGCATATACTTCAACTGCGAAAATAATGACATAAGTTATTTAGATGCATATTTTAGCTAAATGTTATATCGTCGCCTAGATAAAAAATCGTTGCATGTAACCTTCGGCAGGTTTCGTGAAATCCCAATTGAAGTTTGGAATGCAATTTCTCAGAAACTCGACTACATATTTTCTCCAAAGTGACGGAGAATGCTATGTTAAGTCTTGTTGCACAAGTCTTAAGATTAGTTACGCACACTCATAGGGCACACATTTAGGATGCGCATGTCCTCAGCATGTGGTAACGATTGTAAGGCCGATAAGTAGAACAATAGAAAGTAGCAATTGTGCGCACGTGCAACGGCATTGTACACATACATACATAGTGCACATGCGCACAACATGACCTAAGGGTTGTTTAGTTGGCAATTATAGACATTACAATTCAGTGCCAGGGTGTATGGGAATAGTCACGTATGCATTTCTTAAATGTTATGAAATGCGATTGGCTTAAAATGCAAGTGAAACCGTATACTATTTTTATTACTTCCTGGCACTGTCGGTTTAAGTGTTTTTCTAGATAAGTTATACATACCTACTACATGTGTAGTGCAACACACATGTTTTAGATATACTATGGTTAGGGTAAGAATTGTGTATGTGTAGGTTAAGAGTTTTTGTTATAAATAAAGGCTCTGGGACACCAGAGCGTCAGTTATCTACCAAACCCCCGCGTAAACAGTTGGTGACCCTAAGTGAGTTTTTTTGAAAAGTGAAATTTTTTTTGTTTCAAATTAAAATTGGCAGTATAAGAGTAGTGGTAAGTATTAATATATTCATACATATATACTCTTAGTCTTTTATCTACATAGTTTTTTGTGTGTATTAAATCCTTAATAAAAAAAATTTTAAAGCAATGGATTCTGCGCTTAACGAAAATCAAACCATTGCAAGCAGAATCTCTGCTCTGTATGAGGAAATAAAAAATTTTAGGGGGCAAAATATTGAAGAGGGACAGATCCAACGTTGGAGGGGTGTAGTAACCGATCTGTCTAGGCAATTTGAGGAGAACGAGTGTATCCTCAAAGAGGCCTCTTCAACCCTAAAGAGAAACCCTTATTTTAAAGATAACCATGCAGAGCAAATTAGGGGATTTTTCAATAATACCTCAACTCTAATTTTGACCATGGAAATGGAAGCTAAAGCACTAAAAGATAGTTTGCAAGCAGCGGGAGTGATAGCCTCACGACCAGCACCTCAGCCACCTACATCTAGTCACACCTTAGGTTCAATCGCTACAGCTCCCATGATTTCAAAATCAGAACGGCAATTAAAGTTCGTTTTAGAAGATCTTAGCAAGACTATTGACAAATTTTTGGGAAATAAGATTCCAAAAGTCTTCCTTCTGGAAAGTGCCAAAGAAGCTAAAATGATGTATCGCAATTATTTAGGAGAATGTGACGAGAATTGTTTAGAAGATTTATTTCTCAACGTAAGTTTTAAACTCGATGAGGCTTTGGACTTCGCTCCTGAAGATAAAAAAACGCAGAATGAAAATCTGCCCTACACACTGCCAAAAATAGATATTCCGGTATTCTCTGGAGACTATATTCAGTGGAACACGTTTAGAGAATTGTTTTCCCAATTAATAGGTTCAGCCAGTATCTCGGATACACAGAAAATGATTTGCTTGAAATCAAAGCTAAGAGGGGAAGCGGCAATGACGATCGCGAACCTACCAGCAAATGCAGAAAACTATCCAATTGCTTGGAACCTCTTGGATAATAAATATACCAACTTGAGAGCGCAAACTGCCATTCATTTTTCGAACATAATGGGGGCACCCTATACGACTGAAAATCTAGAAAGTGTAAAACGATTGAAAGAAGTGATTGAGGAAAATTTGCAAGCTCTAAAAGCAACAAAATTGAGTTCTGAAAGTATACTGCAAGGCCTTTTAAGTTTCATTTTAGTACGAAAAATGAGTAATGATTTAAGATTGAAGTATGAAACTTCACTTCAGAACTCACGAGAAATACCCATTGTTGACTCATTGGTGAAATTTTTAAATCATGAGTTTTATGCACTGCAAGCAGTACAAAAATCATCAAAAAAGGATGGGTCATCCAAATGGGATGACCATATTAAAGAATTGGCAAACAAAAAGGAAATCGAATGCATCATGGGATGTAATAATCGACATTTCCTTTTTCAATGCACAAAATTTAAAGACCTTACCATTAAAGAAAAATGGGAAAAGGTTAGAAAAAATAACTTATGCTCGAAATGTTTAAAAAATGGACATTCGAGTAAAAATTGCAATGGGTATAATTGTCGTATATGTAATGAAGGTCATAGCACATTCTTACACAAAGTTAGTAATGAAAAAGGTGCAGTGACAAAAAGTACCATTAAGCAAGGATGCGAAAATTCAGAAAAATGCATTTTGTTAGCTACAGCGGTTGTTTATATCCAAGATGCCAAAGGCAAATGGATCAAAGGCAGAGCGCTTCTTGATAGCGGCTCTCAAGTAAATTTGATGTCAAAATCGTTCCTAAAGAAATTAAGACTTAAGGGCGAAGCAATTAAATCGGCAGCGATAGAAGGTGTTGGCAAAACACGTTCAAAAATTGAAGAACGGGTAAATATAAAAATTAAGTCCAGAATGCATATGAGCAATTTCGAAACAAATCTAGACGTACTAATAGCGCAGGAATTAATGTCCAAATTGCCGGCAGAAAAAGCCATTATTAAAAAGATTCCAAATAACATTGAATTAGCTGATCCAAATTTTAATGTTCCTAAGGAAGTGGACATATTAATAGGTTACGAATTAACCTATGGGGATCTCTTTGAAGGAGAAAAAATTTCATTGAATGAAAATAATTTAATAGCCCACAAAACCAAATTGGGTTGGGTTATTACAGGAGCTGCAATGATTAATAGAGCCCCATACATTTGCAGTTTGGCCTCTTTTTCCGAGCCCACAATAGAAAACCAAATAAAACAGTTTTGGGAAATTGAGGAAGATATGGAAAAAGACAAAAAATTTTCAAAGGAGGAGGAAGACTGTCAAACTATTTTTACAAAAACCACAACCAGAAAAGTGGATGGGAAGTTCGGAGTAAACCTCCCCTTTAAAGGAGACATTGAACAATTAGGAAATTCAGAGATTACTGCTAAAAGAAGGTTCTTAGCTATGGAAAAGAAATTGGAGAAAAACTATGAAGTAAAGTCACAGTATCATGAATTTATGAAGGAGTATATAAAATTAAATCAAATGGAGGCTCTAGCCACTCCAAACCAACTTCAGTTCAAATGTTATTTACCTCATCATTATGTACTGAAGCCAGATAGCACTTCTACAAAATTGAGAGTAGTTTTTGATGCATCTGCAAAAACTACTACAAATATATCATTAAATAATTTATTACATACGGGGCCAAGGCTACAAGATGATTTATTTGATATTCTGATGCGTTTCAGAAAACACAAATTTGTAATATCAGCAGACATTGAGAAAATGTTCAGACAAATTTGGGTAAACGAAGAACATCAAAATTTCCAACTAATTTACTGGAGGTGGAAGCCATCGGAGGCCCTAAAGACATACAGATTAAAAACTGTTACTTATGGCACTGCGAGTGCACCTTACTTAGCAGTAAAATGTCTACAAACAGCAGCAGAAGATAATAAAGATAAATTTCCAACAGCTTCACAATGCATTCAGTCAGACTTTTATATGGACGATTTGATGACAGGTTGTGATAATCTAACTGAGCTAAAAAATATGCAGCAACAAATAATTCATATATTAAATTCATATGGATTCAAATTGAGAAAATGGTGTGCTAATCATCCTAGTTTGTTGAACGAAATTCCTAGCGAAGATCGAGAAATTAAATTAGATATAACATCTAATAAAGCTGAGAATATAAAAGCCCTAGGAATCGCTTGGAATCCAGCTAAAGATGACATCTCAATAAAATCTTATTTAGAAACTGACTACAAAATTACAAAGCGCCAAATACTTTCTGATATTGCGAAACTATTTGATCCTTTAGGTCTTTTGAGTCCAGTTGTAGTGGTGGCAAAATTGATACTACAACAAATATGGAAAGAAAAAATCGACTGGGATCAAGCCGTTACAGGAGAAACCATGCGATCCTGGGTACATTTAAGAAATCAAATGAAATTATTGAATGAAATAAATCTTCCCAGATACGCATTATTACCTGATGCAAAAGAAATAGAATTACACGGATACTCAGATGCATCCATGAGAGCCTATGGCGCTGTGGTATATGTAAAATCAGTAGACAAATCGGGAAATATTAAAATAAATCTATTAGCTTCCAAATCGAAAGTCGCCCCATTAAAAATTCAGACGTTACCTCGATTAGAACTATGTGCTGCGGTACTGTTAGTAAAATTAATGGAAAAAGTATCAAAAGCACTTAATCTAAAAGACAAGCATATTTATTATACGGATTCAACAATCGTCCTTAGTTGGCTACAATTAGATCCTGCAAAATTGCAAATATTTGTGTCGAATAGGGTAAACTTTATTCAGGTGCAAACCAAAGGGCGGCAATGGAGACATATTGACACAAAATCAAACCCAGCTGATTTAATAACAAGAGGGTTATATCCAGAAGAAATAATTAATAATAGTCTGTGGTTTAATGGACCAATGCACTTAGCTAACATGGAGTCATACAGAAAAAAAATTGTCACAAAGCCTTTAACATCGCTTCCAGATATAAAGAAAACTGCTATAACAGCAGGTGTTTTGGTAAGGAATTGCTCTTTAATTGATTCAATTGACCACAAAAATAATTTTGAATTCTTATTAAATGTGGTTGCTTTGCTTATCAAATTTAAAGATATTACATTAAAGCGTCCTAAGAAAGAACTCGAAATTCAGAATCACTTATATTATCGAAAAGAAGCTTTGAATTTTATTTTGAAATATATACAAACTAAATATTTTAACAAAGAACTAAGTCTCCTTTCAGGTAACAAAAATTTAGAAAAGAGCTCGAAGCTGATAACTCTATCACCATTTTTGGACAAAAATGGCATCATTAGAGTTGGAGGACGTCTACAAGAAGGCAATATTCCAGAAGAAGCAAAACATCCTGCAGTACTTCCATATGAAGACACTTTAGTTAAAATTTTGGTGGAGGGAATCCATCAAAAACATTTACATATAGGACCGCAAGGCCTTCTCGCAATAGTTAGGCAGAAGTTTTGGCCTTTAAGGGGCAGGCAACTCACAAAAAGAATTGTTAACAATTGCTATAGATGCTTCAGGGCAAATCCTCGTCCCCTTTTTCAAATCATGGGTAATTTACCAGCAGATAGAGTAAGATGCACCAGGCCCTTCTTGAATACTGGGGTTGATTTCTTGGGTCCTATACAAATTCACCACAAAATAAGAGGCAAACGAGTAGATAAAGCCTATGTGTGTGTATTTGTGTGTTTCAGCACAAAGGCAGTTCACCTAGAAGTGGTATCAGGTCTAAGCTCAGCAGCTTTTATAGGAGCCTTAAAAAGATTTGTGGGAAGACGTGGTTGTCCTGCAAAAATATACTCCGACAACGGAACAAATTTCATTGGGGCAGCAAATAGTTTACATGAAATTTATATATTATTTCAAAAGGAGCAACTCGGAAAAGAAGTCTCCTCGTTCTGTGCTGTACACAGCATTAATTGGGTGAATATACCAGCTCGATCTCCACACGTAGGAGGGTTATGGGAAGCTGCTGTTAAATCGGTTAAGAAGCATTTTCACAGAGTAGTTGAAGGCACATTGACCTTTGAAGAGATGTGCACACTCATGACCCAGATAGAAGCAGTATTGAATTCACGACCTCTAACACCATTATCGGAGGATCCGAATGACTTCCAGGTTTTAACTCCAAGTCATTTTCTTATAGGGGAGACTTTAACCACACTTGCAGACAGTAGTGAAAACCATTGTTATCACGGGGTGCGGGACCACTGGAAAGCAGTGGAAAGAAATTCAAAGGAATTTTGGAAGCGCTGGTCACTGGAGTACCTAAGCGAACTTCAGAAAAGAGTCAAGTGGCAAAGGCCACAAGATAACTTACCCCAAGGGAGTTTAGTTCTCCTTAAGGAAGAAAATCTTCCAACAATGACTTGGAGAAGGGGCAGGGTTGAGAACCTCATCATCGGAAAAGATGGAAAATGCAGGATGGTAGACGTAAGGACCAGCACTGGAATGACAAAAAGATCAATAACCAATGTTTGTCCTTTTCCTACGGAAACGGAAAGAAATATAAGTAAAAATGAGGAATCCCATAAGAATAGGAATGTAAGGCATAAAAATAAAAATGTTCTAATGACGATGTTAACCTTTTTATTAGTACTACCACTCTACAATTGTCAAGTAATTATAGAAAAATTTAGGGACAAGTCAGGGATATTAATAGAGAGGCAAGACAGTTTGGGTTTGACGAAGACATCATGGGAAATAATCATCCACGTGAACATGACGGATTATCAGCACCAAATACAGCTTCTAATGGGAACACCCTCGGCTCTACAAAAACTCGCCAAGCTACTGGACAAGGGAGACTCAGAATCTCAAAAGGTAGTTGAGACCTTAGTTAATCAGGTCATTCATCGCATTAAAGAAGTCAACCAAAAGGATGCACTGATGAGATTTAATGGAAGAAATAGAGCATCTAGGTCTATACTGCCATTCGTTGGAAGCGTGTATCATTCAGTGTTTGGTCTAATGGATGAAGAACACGCAGATGAATTGGTGGCGACAATAAAAAGGACCCATAAAAATGAAGAATACTTGCTTAAGCTATACCAGAATCAATCCTCCATTGAAGACATAACGCAAGAGGTTTTGAAGAAACAAAATGAAGTTGTTCGAAATAATTTTAACCAAATATCGGACTCCATACAAATAATAAAGAAAGCGGCTGAAAATGAATTAGCAATGGAAGGCTTTCAAAACTATATAGCAAGCATTAACATTGCAATAGAGTCAATAGAGCAACTGCAAGGAGATATTACGGATTTGATTTGGAACTCAAAGGGAAATTTCATGAAAAGGATTTTACCTATCGACAGATTCCAAACCCAAATAGCAACAATTACGGCAAATTTAAATGATGACTTACAATTGCCAGATACCGACCCGTTTGAGCTATCAAAAATATCACGGGTCACAGCCACTATAAACCAAGGCTTCTGTTTAGTGCGAATTCAAATACCACTTATACAAAGCCAACAGCTACAGTTATTTGCATTGACCAGTTATCCGATTCTGCACGACGGCTACTTCGTGAGCTTTAAACTCGCATATGAATATCTGGTAGTAAATAAGGAGAAATCAATGTATAGTAGCCTGACAGAAACTAAATATTCGTATTGCCAGAAAATGAGAAGAATCACGCTGTGTCCCCAAATTGGACCACTCTACAATGTAAGAAAGGACCAGTCGTGCGAACTAGAGCTATTCTTTAATTCGAAGCAATTACCATTATCATGTGTGGTGAATATAATGCCTCTGCAAGAAGTTTGGTTGCAGCTTAAATCCTCAAATAGCTGGCTGTACTCCGTCCCTGAAGACACAAAGGCAGAAGTCAGTTGCGGCAGCTCTTATACGGCACATATTTTAGTTGAGCAAGGCATTGTAAAACTGCAACCTGGCTGCCACTTAACAACCGCGATAGTAAGCGTTTGGGCACACAAGGCACCAACCACTGTTATTCAGTACAATATGCCCCCAATTAATATGAGCAGGAGTTTACCGCTCATGAAGCACATTACTATAAAAGGGACTATGTTGACATACTCGATTCCGGACATTCCGCGGCCACCAGCCATTGTTGATTTCTCAGAAGACATCGATTTCCACCACCTGATGCACTACAGCTCGAATATATCAACTTGGATCATTATCGCAGGAGTCATCATGGGAATGATCGTCATCTTTCGGAAGCTATGTGGTCTCTCAACACGATATCTTCCCGCTGCTCTGGCCCTTAGATAATATAATAGTCGATAAGAATAAATAAGTACATAAATATAAGTACAGTAGGTTGAATATTGAGTGGATTCCTCACAACTCCTATTTGAATAAGAAATAGTTCACCTTTTTTGAAAGTAAATACTTTCAACGTGGGCAATATGTTAAGTCTTGTTGCACAAGTCTTAAGATTAGTTACGCACACTCATAGGGCACACATTTAGGATGCGCATGTCCTCAGCATGTGGTAACGATTGTAAGGCCGATAAGTAGAACAATAGAAAGTAGCAATTGTGCGCACGTGCAACGGCATTGTACACATACATACATAGTGCACATGCGCACAACATGACCTAAGGGTTGTTTAGTTGGCAATTATAGACATTACAATTCAGTGCCAGGGTGTATGGGAATAGTCACGTATGCATTTCTTAAATGTTATGAAATGCGATTGGCTTAAAATGCAAGTGAAACCGTATACTATTTTTATTACTTCCTGGCACTGTCGGTTTAAGTGTTTTTCTAGATAAGTTATACATACCTACTACATGTGTAGTGCAACACACATGTTTTAGATATACTATGGTTAGGGTAAGAATTGTGTATGTGTAGGTTAAGAGTTTTTGTTATAAATAAAGGCTCTGGGACACCAGAGCGTCAGTTATCTACCAAACCCCCGCGTAAACATGCTATGTACTAGTTCACGAAATTCTTAAATTATCTTATTCTTTAGTTTACTGTCAACCATTTATGGGTTTAATAAAATGTTCTCGTATACGCCAAATGTGATAACATTTTTTATAAATTAACCATACTTTACACTAATCAGCCTAATCGTGGGTCTCGCAAAAAAAAAATCGCCAGAAATGTTTTCACCCACCCGTAGTGAATACACGGAAAAGGAAAGTGAAAAGGTGGCCCGGTTCGAGAAAATGAAACTCATGATAAGGCTGAATATGTCGGAACTAAAGCAGATATTTAAAAACAGATGACGCTATTTGAAAGATCTTGATTAGTTTAGTACGACAGCATTACTAACGTAATTTGTACCAAATGATTTTAGTCAATTACTCGGAAACTAAAGAAGATATCCAAAAAACTGTTAACAAAAAAGCGAAATATCTGATTTAAAAATATATAACTGCATCTTTAACTAAAAACTGTCAAAATAGCGCTTACGAAAATTTTCCATCCAAGCGACGATATTTGAATGTTACTGGCATAATTTCGAGTGTGTATGTAAAATTTCGGGAAAATGTTAAGAAGTATATTCATATGCTGAAAAGATATTTTCGCAGACTCACAATTTATTTAAAGTATATCATCAACCTTATTTCCAATTCTATGAATAAATCGCTCCCATAACTTAATTTGTGCATTCAATATATTTCACAATTAACTTAAATACTAAATTACAAATATTTGTTCAACGACATCGACACAATAAAACAAAAAGAGTATTAGAAAAATAATTATTCTTAATACATTTATATTTCAGCTAAACCTGAGATGTTCAATCGCACTGAAATATGTTTCTATCCATTTTTCCAGTGCTAAAATAATTTTCACCACATAAAATTGCNATCGACACAATAAAACAAAAAGAGTATTAGAAAAATAATTATTCTTAATACATTTATATTTCAGCTAAACCTGAGATGTTCAATCGCACTGAAATATGTTTCTATCCATTTTTCCAGTGCTAAAATAATTTTCACCACATAAAATTGCTGCACAACACCCTTTTCGACGAAAAAGCGTTGCTTGCAACACTAGTCCTTTATGGGGACCAAATTTGGTGGAAAAAAGTTGCTAAGTTTGTTTACTGGATATACTGAGGCTCTGGTCTATACTACCTAAAGCAGTTTTCTAAGTACATACATCATCAAAAGGAGACTCTTGAAAGTGTATTAATAATATGATAGCGACTTTTGCAAGAGGAGTTTACATTTGGTGCTATTTTTTTCAGAATATAGAAATAATTTGCACTATATTGTTAGTGGGCATGAAATACTGTACCTTACCCGCAAAAAAACTAAAAATCTAAAAATTTTACATATCGCAATTTGGAAGTGAAACCAGAATGGAATTTTCAAATATTTGTATTTGACGTGGCAACAAGAAACATTATATCTTTTATTCAAAAATGACCTGATAACCCGAAATGAACCTGCTATCTGTAGTTCGTATAATTGGGTTCTGACTGAAGTTACTTAAGTAGGATAAAATCAAATATTTATGGTGCATTTACATGGTAAATATGAATCTGGTCATAAGCCGTGTGAATTTTTCAATAAAAAAAGCACCAACTCTATGAATAAATGAATGCAAGCGATATACATACATTTTATAATTTTGACTTTTATACTTGGCAAGCATTCTTTTGTAAACAACAAACAAACAAATTTAATTTTGTGCTAGCTTCGAAACTAGCAGCTTTTTTTTTAAATGCTCTTTAAAAAATATGAGAACTGGTTGAAGTGTCCTTCTGCCAATAAAGCATTGTGGTTTGATATTTTTTATATGTGTACGAGGTACGTATAGGAATAACGCGGCTGAAAAACAACAAAGCTGCTGGAGCCGACAGCCTGCTGAGCTATTCAAACACGGCGGCGAGGAGTTGATAAGGTGCATGCATCAACTCTTGTGCAGAATATGGTCAGATGAGCGCATGCCCTACGACTGGAATTTAAGTGTGCTCCGCCCAATCCACAAGAAAGGTGACCCCGCCATTCGCGCCAACTTCCGCGGGATCAGCCTCCTAAGCATAGGTTACAAGGTCTTATCGAGCGTATTGTGTGAAAGACTGAAGCCCACCGTCAATGAACTGATTGGGCCTTATCAGTGTGGCTTTAGACCTGGCAAATCCACCATAGACCAGGTATTAACAATACGTCAAATCTTGGAAAAGACCCGCGAGAAAATAATCCACACTCACCACCTATATGTCGACTTTAAAGCTGCTTTTGACAGCACTAAAAGGAGTTGCCTATACGCCGTTATGTCTGAATTTGGCATCCCCTCAAAACTCATACGGCTGCGTAGAATGACGTTGAGCAATACCACCAGCTCCGTCAGAATTGGGAGTGACCTCTCCGAGACATTCGTTACCAAACGGGGTTTCAGACACGGCGACTCTCTTTCATGTGACTTCATAAATCTGATGTTGGAGAAGATAATAAGAGCTGCAGAACCCAACCGCTCATGAACAATTTACTACGAGAGCGTGCAATTGCTGGCTTATGCCGATGACGACGATATCAACGGTATTAAAAACCGCGAAGTATGTTCTGCCTTTTCCAAGTTGGATAAGGGAACAAAGCGAATGGGTTTGGTGGTAAACGAGGGCAAAACGAAGTTTCTCCTGTCATCAAACAAACAGTCAGCACATTCGCGCCTTGGCACCCACGTCACTGTTGACTAGAGTCCGACCGATTAATCGGCATCGGCTAGTATCGGCACAAAATTGAGCATCGGCATCGGCATCGGCCTTTTTTGGCCGATTCTTTGGAATTTTTTTTGAAATGATCAGGTGAAGCGACAGCCAACATTAAAAAAACATTTGCAGACAACTCACAAAAATGATTTTTTTTTTTTGTTGAAGGTGTTTCACGTTGTTTCCATACAAAAGTATGTGCAACAATTTTCTTTTATATGGAGAACACTGCCAGTAAAAATAATTGCCAAAAATTAACGGGATTTTATAGCAGCTTGAAACTAGCACTTCATTATACTAGAATGAAATGGTCTACAAAACTGCATACCAAAATTCTGATTAAAAGGTTTGAAATTTTGGTGAAAATAAGCAGAATTTTTCTCATTTTTGTACAAAGTTTGAAATTTGAATTTATATGGTGTTTGTTGTATAGACTTTTATAAAAAAAAAATAATGAACATTAAATAAAAAAGACAAAATCGGTAAAAATATCGCAATTCTTTTATTTTGTGGACCACTATATGTATGTACATACATACCTAGCATATAAGTTCTTATGCATTGAGTGCAAAAGAGTGTATTTTAGTACAAAACGAAATGAAATTTTATGTACCTAAATATTTTTTGCTTAGCACCATGAAAAAAGTGTTTTATGTAATGTACATAAATGTGATATATGTACATATATTTTTACACATACATATGTATGTATGTACATACATGTGTATGTAATGTTGCATAACAAGCCAATTAATTCAATTATTTCTTTTCTTTTATTTTTTTTTTAACTCCGTGAAATGAACTGATTTTATGAATTAATACATTTATTTGTAAATTTTAATGGAATCGGCATGCCCCGATTCTTTCCCCATAAGCCGATTAATCGGCATCGGTACCTGCAAAAAAATTGGAATCGGTCGGACTCTACTGTTGACAGTTACAATTTCGAGGAAGTAGAGAATTTCGTTTACTTGGGAGCCAGCATTAACACCGATCATTGTCAGCATTGAAATCCAACGCAGAATCACTCTTGCCCACACGTGCTTCTTTGGACTGAGTAGGCAATTCGGGAGTAAAGTCCTCTCTCGACGTACGAAAACCACGCTCTATAAGTCACTCATCATGCCCTGCTGGTATATGGCGCAGAAGCATGGACAATGACATCATCCGATGAGGCGGCTCTAGTAGTATTCGAGAGAAAGATTTTGCGGAAGATTTACGGGCCTTTACGCGTTGGCGATGGCGAGTACCGCATACGATGGAACGATGAGCTGTATGAGCTTTACAACGAAATGGACATAGTGCAGCGAATTCAAATACAGCGGCTCCGCTGGCTTGGCCATGTCGTTCGAATGGTCACCGACGCTCCAGCTCTGAAAGTATTCAACTCGGAACCCGCTGGTGGTAGCAGAGGAAGAGAGAGGCCCCACAGCTATGGAAAGATCAGGTGGAGAAGGACTTGGCTTCACTTGGCGTTTCCAATTGGCGTGAGTTGGCACAAAAGAGAAACGACTGGCGTGCTTTGCTGAACTCGGCCAAAAAAGAAGAAAAATGCTTCCAATCTTTTACTACGTTTGTGCGGCACGAATCTTCTTTCATTTCATGAATTCAAAAATGGTTCCGTTTATGCATAATTCATAAGAATACATGAAAGGAAGTGTTTTGAAAAAGTGGCTGTTTAGGCGCGTCTGCTAACACCAGGCGCCTAAATACATGCTATGTACTGCTGCATGTGCAAAAATTTCCTTCATTAAATTAATGAAATTTATGTACATGCACTTCTCAACTGCCATGTAATAAAACTTTCTTAAGTTTTAATTTGATGGCAGTTCAAAGTATGCTCGGCCTAGTCTGATGCATCCTCCGGACACTGCTTCCGGAGTCTTCTGCGGACTCTGCATGGCTTACAACCATGCGGAGGTGGTAATAGTTGATTACCATTGGCCACAGTGCCTACCCACTACTTTTTGGTCCAATAAATATTTTTTTTTATATACATACATACATGCAAACATACTGGTCTCCCCTCTCACTGAGTTATTCAGTGGCAGCGCACTAACAAAAAAGTAAACAGTAGGGTTGTGTTTTTTAAGCACTTTTTTGAATTTACAATAGACGCTGATACCAGGAAATGGTGCATGTTATATTTAAATTTGTTTTAGTGCATTTGAGTTTCTTCCATTTGAATTTCTTTAATATTACAACAAATTCACGTAACTTTTCCAGTGTTTTAAGTCATGGTTATGCCACTACATGCTTTTGATCTAAAAACTTCATAACCCTAGTAAACAGCTGTTTATTAAACGTGGCCTTGCCGGACTCACGCTTCACGATTTTATGAAATGGTGCGCAAATTCATGGTTAATTTTCGTGTATAATTGAATTCATGATATGCAGCAAATTTTAGCCCAAATTCATAAAATTTTTTTATTTATTTATTTATTTAAAGAGAAATAATTATAAATAATTGCTACACTTAAATCTGCACTGGCTGCCAGGGCCGTCGGCTAGAAAGA